CTACTCAGGGATCACTTTGGCCAGTGTGCTGTGGAAGAGCTAAGTTGGGCTACCGGGCGTACTGAAGTCCAAAGTTCTAAAAATCTAACAACCCCACAGTCCTACGGGTGGGGAAAAACTAATTTGCTGAAGAGTAGGACCTCTCAGGTTCTGACATTGACCTCATTAGACTCCAAGCAAATACTGAGGCAATGAGAATTCACCCTGTTTAGTAGAAGATTAGCACCATTTCGATTGCAATATGCATGGTGACGCCCAAATCCGACCAATACGCATCCTGCTAATTCCCGCGATCCTGGCCGCCAAGGGCAGAAACCACACCCGCCAATCCAGGCGAGGCAAGTGCAGCCAAAGCACAACGCCAGACCTCAAATGACACATCTTGATTGACATTGGAAAGGGGCATCACATGATGTCACATGTCTCATGAAGTCTCATGTCACCACATGCATTTCGGGAACTCCCATCCTTTCCCCAGTTTTGGACGACTTTGCCGCAGCTTCAATTGGAGAGGCCTCGCTTTCTTTCTCATCCTTCTTGTTCCAGTGAGGCAGCGCCTTTGGGAAGTCCCATCGGATTCCCAATAGTTGGAAGAAGAAGGGTGTCCAATCTCCCATCCCTTTCTTTCTCATTCCTGCAATGTTGGTGTTCAATCGTTCTAAACATTGAAGACGGTTCTTCTCTTGTGTTCCGCTCTGGCGGTCGCTCGGAGGATTGCACAGAGTCTGACCTGGGAACCCATGTTTCGACAAGAATTCGCTGAGTCAGTCAACTCTTCAACATGTTCCTGTCCCCGCTTTTTCCCCCTCTTTGTTCTCCGAGACGCTCCCTGGGACCTTGGTTCAGCTTGTATCGCCAACGGATTTGTCGCCAGGATTGGCCATCATCCGTTGACGCTTCCAAAATCGGCTCCCAACGAAAGTCGTGCATCCCTGAGAACTTGCCTGTGACAGCTGGCAGTTTAAGACAGAATGGTCTGGAATGCGTTTATATTATATTCGAGAGTCGAACTACGACATACCAGCAACAAAAAAACATAAGCACCTCACATACAGCTTGTCCTTCCGTGAGCTTCCGGTCTGGTCCTCAACACCCCCAAATTCAACCCACCGGCCCACCTCACCTTGGTAGTTCACCAGCTTCCAGGGTTGCTGCAAGGCCTCCAGCCATTCCAAGCGCGCCGTCACCACGTCCGGCAGGCGAAGCGTCCGCAGGTCCACCGTGCCTTTGCCTTGGCGAACGACCGGCGGATCTTCAGTGGAGCCAGATGCGCTGCTGCGCACACGGTAGAGGTTGTTGTGATGTGTTTCCAAGTTGAGTTTCCCGCACTGGAATAGGATGGGCGCATAGATCTAGAAGTTGCGTTGCTTTAACCAAGATCTTCGAGCTCAACTTGCTGGTGTCAACATGTTTCGCTTGTCATTGGCCCAGAAGAGCCAACGATTAGCAGTCTAGCACTGCTCCACATGATATAGACATAATGGATGACAATATTGAAAAGTACATAAAACCATTGCATTTTGTTGGGTGAAAAACCACACATTGAAGTCTGCCTGCCTACCCCACTTGCCCAAACAGCTTGACACCCCTCCCATTGCAGGCTGAAGCTCCAGCACGGGCCAAGGGTAAGAGAGACAGGACCACGTAGAGACTCAGAACACAAACCACCTCGGTGTTGGATGTGAGGGATCACAGTTGCAGGTGTTTTGTTCCCTAATTAATGGTTTTGTTTTTTCATGCCTTTTCATCACTGGAAGGTGTTGTCTGCTTGGTGTTTCGTTCCCGATCAGGCTTCGGATGCGGAAATGGTGATGCCACCCCCCCCCCACCCCCTAGCAGGGAGGTGTCAGGAGGTGTCGCGGGCATTTTAGGGTCAGACAATCGCGGGAACTCCGACCTGCCGCCGGCACTCTTTGCACACCTATTCCTGGTAATGTGTGGCGTTTTGGTGAAACGAAGCGTTACAATGTTGGTGAATTGGATGACCATGGTGCGAAGTCGATTCACGATTGTAAAACCAATGACAATGTTGTGGGAGAAAATGTTGAGATTTGTTGAGGATAGATAGTTGATATGTAAACACAGTAGGCCACTGGAAAGGACTTGGCAAAGGCGCTCGTCTTTGGCCTATTGGAGTCGATAACACACATTTGTCTTCCAATTCCTTCAGAAAGTGTGCAGGTGTGAAGTCCTGTGCAGATTAACTTTGCTGGAGCTGAGCATAATTCACATGATAACAACATATTTTCACACTCTTGTCTCTACCCGACTCTCTACCCCTATACATATATAGATAACTATATATATATATACTGTACCCGACAACAACCCACTCACCAGCAAAGCAGGCAGCCTCTACAGCAAGATTGAGCGGTATGTGCTTCAACATTTGGACAATCCAAAGTTGGGAAGGGGAACTCAGTTGACCTACGTTCACAAACCTTTGGTTGATCATAGCAAACCCTGGATCTGGAGGAAAGGAGGCCAGGCATATTGGGCACAAATTGAGGTTCGTCTGCAGCAGCACCTTCACCGCCTAGCACTGGGATCAGAGCAAATTGCACCATTTGCAAAAGCTTGGGTGGCGCCTAGATGATCATTGGCATGGGGATGCTAAAGTCACCTTGGAAGGTTTCAAGCTGCTCTACAACATGCTGTGGACCAACCATGATGCAGAGCATATCCAAGTGCTGCTCAAGTTTGCTAAAGAACAACGAGAACTCCACAGCGAGCAATCCTTTGTGGTTGAAACTGAAATCTATCGAACATGGATGAGCAAAGCTGCAGAAAAGGGGTGCCGTGGACTCTACAGAACTCTAAAGAAGGATGAGATGCCCTATCAGAGACCCTTTCAAGGACAACCCCGAACAGAGCGCATGACCATGCGACTTCAACAATGGGGGGCAATTTGGCAACAGCAGGATGTCCCACACCCACCGGAGGCTTTGGCACACCTTCAGAGGAAAGCGCAACAACATGCTAATGACCTTCAACCTCTGACGGACATGCATGTATGGAAGACCATTAAGCAGCTGTCACAGAAAGCCCCAGGTTTGGATGGCATTGGCTTTGATTTTTTCAAGGCCCTACCATTTCAGGCAATGCGGAACCTCATCGAGCTTTTCCATGAAGTTGAAGCTCAAGCAGCCATCCCAAATCAATGGGCGGTCTCCCTGATCGCGCTCATTCCCAAGAACGCTGACATTGAAAGACCCATTGCCCTGGTCGCGACCATGTACAGACTGTGGTGCCGTCTACGTGCACCATACACTCGGCAATGGCAGCTGGAGATCCACCATGAGTACTTCTGGGAGCGAGCAATGCCGGGCACAGAATGCCTTCAAGTTGCCCTCAAAAGGGCCTACATGACTGAACACCACAATGCAATGCAGAAAACAGTGGTGTCGGTATTGATGGACATGTCCAACTTTTATGACCGCATCAACCTTGAGAAACTGGCGCAACGATGGCTGGATTCCAGCTACCCTCCGGTCCATGCTGCTCTTGCCATGCAGGTCTACAGTGGAGGGCGCATCCTGGAAGTAGAAGGTGAAGCCTCAAAGCAGATTTGGGCGAAGAACGGCATCCTTGCAGGAGACCCTCAGGCACCTTTAGCTGCCAAGATTTATTTGCAGCCAGCACTCAAGAGTTTCCACAAGAAGTTCCCACAATTGCACACAGACCTGTGGATTGACGACCTTTCCTTTGACGTGGTAGACCGCAATCCACAAAATGCAGTGAGGGTGGCCATTGCGGCATACAACCACATCACCAAGCTCCTGGAGGATGACGATCTGGTGATTTCATCCAAAAAGACAGGATTTGTTGTCAGCAATGCAAAGGCCAAGGCCATCCTACAGCAGCAACTGCCCAAGGAGGGCCCTGCAGTGCATGATGTAATGAGGGATTTAGGCATTGACTGCACGGCTGGTCGATTGAGGAGGATTCAAACAATGAAGCAGCGGAGAAAAAAGGCCAGTAGGACAACCAAGAAGCTGCAGGTTCTCAAAATTCCTCTTCGCTCCATCCGCCTCAAATTGTACAAAGGCAGCATTGTAGCAGGCATCAGCTGGGGACACGAAAGCATGGGCCTAGCACCACAGGTCCGCAAGCGGCTGCGTGCAACTATGGGTCGTCAGATTGGCTTGCAACGTACAGGGAACTTGGACATCATTTACGATATGCACCCCAAACATCAAGATCCAGACTATGGGGCCTTTATCGACCAGATCAAGTCCTTCCACAAGTTCTATGGGGCTTGGCCGGAACACCTGGCCAGAGATCTTGAGAAGGCCTGGCAAGTACATGCTGCCAGATTGCAGCAGGCCAAATACCCCTGGCAGGTGGCGAAAGGGCCTGTAGCCGCCTTGCAATGTTACCTGCAAGAGAAAGGATGGACAGCAGACAACCCAGCAGTCTGGGCTTAGTCCAGGCTACAACGGCCAAGAAGACTTCAGGCTGGACATGCACTCATCCTGGCTGATGCTCAAACAAGAACTCAAACGGGCGGAGGCAGCAGACCGTCTATTTGCCATCAGCCAACGATCATTGCTTCAGGAGGTACAGAGACCGCTGGACTGGCTGCCGTGGCAACGACAAAGCAAGCACCTCAATAGCAGAAGTGCAGTTGCCCTCATGACTTGGCACCAGGGGGCAATTTTCACCAAGGTGGCTGATGGAGAACAGCATTTGCAGTGCCCGCACTGTGGCCAGTTGGCCACCCCGGCGCACGTCCTTTGGCTTTACAAAGAGACGAATAAGAGGTTTCCCAACCTTGCGCCAGAAGATGTCTTTGAGTTAGAACATGGAGTGAGCCTGGAGTTCTGGTCGCAAGGCCTTTTGCAAATCCCTGATCTACAGGTTTCAACAGGAGGTGCAGCAGTACAGGCTTGGGGATCTTGGACAACTCATGATGAGCTGACCCTCAAGAGACAAGAAGTGGTGACTATCGGCATCTCCACGACGTCCAAAGATGTTCGAGTCCGACATTTTGTTGTGGCAATTGTGCACCACGTCCAACTTGGGGGGCAACTTTATCGACAAGGAGCTGTCATCACTGTGTTGCCAGGCAAACAGTCGTGGGAACGTGCATGGTTCTACGGCATCCGCACGGTGGCTCACTATGTGAACTTGCAGGCTCCTTTGGTTGTCCATGTGAGCTCAACTCGAGCGCATGAAGCATGGACACAGCACAAACACAAGGAAGTCTTCTTCGACATGCAGAACCTCATCACCTTGGATCAACGAGCCCGCATCAAGGTTTTGGCCATCACACAAGACCAACTCAAGGACATGCCCAGAACAGAATGGTCGCTGAGGAGCCGCATGGCTGATGCAAAGAAGGCAGCAGTGGAAGTGGCGCTCTCTATGCAACCCAGAGAGCAAGAAAAGGTGCTACAGGAGCAAGACAAGAAGTACAAGCGAATTGTGCCTTTAGTGCTTCAACGTATCCAGTTTTTGCTTGAAGACAAGTCCCACTTCATCAACCAGGCACGAGAAAGTGGAAAACAAGATCGGCAGCACGCAAGAGAGCATAAAAGAGCTCTGTTCCAGGGCTTGGTGCCTCAGACCAATCCGGCTGGACATCAATGGGAACACAAAGGACGCAGCATTCAGTGCAGCCGCAAGAAGAGGCTGACCATGCACAACAAGACAACAGAGATCCAGGCAGGATCAGAAGAAGCCTGTCCATCACCCATCACAATACCCATGATTGGAGGTGGACCAACGGAGCAGACCGAGCCCAGCAGCAAAGCTGAGCTGCTGACTAGCTTGGTAAATGGTACCATGCCTTCAATGGGGCAGCATGAATTTCAGATCCACACCAACTATGTGGTTTGCCAGAAGTGCGGCATCCGGCACCTCAAGAACTCCTCTAGGGACAAGCTTGTGGCCATGGCCAGCAACAAATGCTGGGATGAACAATGGCAGCCGGAAGGCCAATGGACAGGAAGAGGCGCATGCAGTGGCCAAGGAGGAAAGCTTCAGCGCCAGCAAACAACTCAGGCAAAGGTGTGGCGCCACACCGGGGCAACAGCAGCTGCCAAGCTGCTTCAAGCCCAAAGAGGCCGCTTCGTGAGCACCGAAAAGGAGCGAAGAAAAAAATAATATATATATATATACTGTACCCACTGGGCGGGTGGGCGCTTTGCTAGGCAATGTGACTTATGGACTCTTCGTTTCCTTGGGAACTTGGGGATGCACATGGGCACAGAAGCCCAACACCTCGTGTGGCTAGGTCAGTGTGTCTGAGATTCGCTGGAACAGGAAAGAGGAGAGGTGAGGAGGAGTTCTACCGGTTTCGTATATCGAAGTGGCTCGGATTTGCTGCGCTGTGTTGTGCACGGAACCTGAAACCGACAAACGTCAGCATCCAGAAAAGAATCCATACATATCTACACCGCCGTAAAAGTTGTTGGCGCAACTCAGGGGATAGCCACCATAGCCATAGATGGCTCAACACCACATGTCAATTGAATCATCTTTGAGCTATGAAGCACAAAAAGCTGTCGCACAATAATCATTAAACATCAAAGCTAGGGCTGCAAAATCTATAGATGGCGCATCCCAAAGCTCTTTTTCTCCCATCCCAAAAAAAGAACGCGGCAAGCAAGCACAAGGACTGCTCAGGAATCTACTGAAGGAGCGTCCAAGTGTTGCTGAAAATGGCGCAAGGCATCCCTGCTCGAATTCATCTTACGATGAACAGGTTTCCCTCTCCTTTCCTTTTGTTTCCTTTCCTTGACTTCTCCTGTCCCTCTCTGTTCCTTTCCCCGTCTTTTCCCTTTCCCTTCCTTTATTCCATTGATCTATTTTCACATAGGGGCAATATATGGCGCAACTCATTTCGGTTTGCTTCCCTTTTTCCTTCCTTTTGTTTCCTTCATTGTCCCTTTCCCTCCTCTCCTCTCCTCTCCTCTCCTTCTCTTGCCTTTCCCTTTCCGTTCCTTGTCCTTTCCCTTTCCTTTTTCTTTCCTGGATTTGTCCCTTCCCTCTCCTCCTTCCCTTTCCTTTCCTGCGCTTTCTGCTTCATGCAGTATAGCATTTCCTGCGCTTTCCTCTCCAACTTCATGCAGTACAGCATCAGTGGTGAGATTTGCAGAGTTGAAGCCTACTGTATGCATTGATTGGCATTGCGCCATCTGTGGTTCTGACATAAAGCCCCCACACGCAAATAAAAGATGACAAAATGGCGATATCTTGGACCATAAATGCGGTAGTTTTCCAGGGTTTTTGGACTTGTAGATGGCGCAACAGTGTGTTGCCCCCTGGAGTTCGAAGATGAAGCAACAAAAAAAGACAAGCCATCAATTTTCACAATGGAGTATATCAGTATATAGTTGAGTGAGTCGAGTGATCTTGAGAGTGTGTTGTACGATCTTGTGAATCTTGTATGAATGGTTTCTAGCTGTGCCAAGTTACTACCAAACGAAATGGCCAGGCAGTGCTCCTTGGCAGCCGCCAAGCATCCACATCAGCCCCTAGAACAAGCTGGTAGAACCGGTCATCCACCAGGGAGAGATTCTCCATGGTGTTGAGGAAACCTTGGGAAATTGCAGCGCAACAGAAACAAGTGCCAGACTCTCACTTCAGCTTCCAGTATGAATAGAGGGAGTTAAGCATGTTGAACTTTGTGGGAGGCACGAATTTCTTTCCGGTACTTGGTCATCTCCAACCTAATAGGGTCTGAGATCCATACACTGCAAACACCCAACAGGCGAGAATCATACCAATTATATAGCGGAACCTTACTTACTAGTCTTTGCTGGTTCGAAATCAAACAAATGTATCATATTGCTATAAAGCCCTGGCTATCCCTGGCTTAATTGAAGGTCCAGCTACCTATGAAGCCATAATTGCCCGTTGTGTTGATCATCGCATTCAAGCAATTAAAACCTGGCAACGGAGAGCAAAGGATTGTGGTATATAGATGTATATAATTAGGTTGTTTGGGAAGGTGGCATTGAATTCAAGTCGAACACAGCCTTTGGAAAGCAAAGAAACTCTTGCAGAAGTGTTGCCATTCCAACACTCGGGGCTTCACACCTCACAACAATCGATCCTGTGTGTTCTCACTTGGACGATCAGGTCAGCCTTTGCTGGCATCTCTTCCAGCCGTTGACTCGACGAATAACCCGTGGGCTCGGCTGTGCACTTCAACTAAATATACGTATTCAAACGATACATCGTGTTGCTTTGCAAGCCGATTGGCCAACTCCTGCAAAAATTGCTGCTCTTTCGCCTATCCATGCGCTGATCCTGCAAGGCCACGGGCACCAAATTAGAAAGGGCAGGATCACCTCCACCTTGGTCGAAACGGTTGGGATGGAGGACACTGCGGAGGGAAGCCAAACATAATATATTTATTAGCTTCAGTATAGGTTGCAGAATCCGAGCGCCGGCCCGCGGAGCCCGTGTCCTTGCCGGAGGCCTTCGGTGGTTACCGACCGCGTCGCCACTGAAGCCCATGTAGTTTACAGTGCTTTTTGTGCGTTGTGTTCAAAAACATCGTGCATTACAGGGCGTCGGGCCCTTCGGCCGCCATGGATTTCATCTTGGCGATGTAAAAACACCTCGGCTTTTACCTGGTATTGGCCTCGGAAAGGGGGTCTGGGACGGGAAACGTCGCATCTTGAGAGTATGTCAACACAAATGGCGCAAAATACCCCCTAACATAGGCCCAACATAGCCCCAAGATGGGCCATGGGCCCCAGGTGGGCCAACATGGGCCCAAGGTGGCCCAACATAGATCAACATCACCCCAAGACCGCCCCACATAGCCCAAAGATGGGTTCGACCTGGCTCCAAGACCACAACCACAACCAGAACCACCGCAAGAACAAGAACAAGAACAAGAACAACAACAACAACAATAATCCATCCTATACATATATGTCTATGTGTGTGTGTGTGTCTGATATCCGTCCCCCTACTCCCCCCATGTCCTTCCTCCCTCTCCTGCGTCGGCCGGCGCCCAGCTGTCAGGCGTAAGCCTTTTAATACCAATATACTTGAAAATCACTTCAAGAAAACTGACACTAGGCTATGTATGGTAATTGGTAATTATAGCTTCTTTCTGTGTGTCCAAGAACGGTTTCAGTTACTTTAGTACTATAGATCCCAAAAACAACTCCAAACCGCCCAAACCAAGGTGCCAAGAAGGTGGCCAAGACAGAGAAGCGATGGAAGTCCGCCGGCCACACATGGGCCCAACGAGATCGTCGGTTCACCAAGGGCCTCGGGGGCAAGAACTCGACCCAGTGTGGTTTTCTTGATCCATTAGACACAATGTTCGCTACTAGGAACAAGTGCCTCGCTACTAGTAACAAGTGCCTTACTAGTAGTAACAA